TACATTTTCTATCCTACACACAGACACAGAGGATAATATTATATCTATTGGTTTGTGATTTTCTTATCTTCTCTTATCTGGCAGCACACTATGAACATCCCATTTTCCCAGTTCATTATATATTTCTGTCATGTGTTTGAAATGCCTATGAAGTATTTCAGTGTTTTCATGTACCAAAAAATTTTAGACAAAAATCGATTCAGGGCTATGTAGGGGGTTTCTAAGTTTCCCCATTATAAACAATGCTGCAACTAAGAATGCTACATACGCATCTTTGGCCATGATCTATTTAATCACTTAGAATACATTTCTAGAATGCCTGGGTCAAAGCTTCTACGTGCTTCTAAGCTTCTGACACATGTGGCCACGAGGGTTTTCCCCAATACTCTCCAGTCTGTTTCCATGGATTTTCATGACAGGTGGCTTGTCTGCGGCAAGAATTTCCCAAGAAAGGAAGGAATTTGAGGCTACTGGCAATAATAACAATAAACCAGTGATTCTGACTCGTGGAGAGCCCATGTGTATCAGAGTAGGACTGTGCTCCATAGGGTTTTCAAGGACTGATTTTTTGGAAGGAGATTTCTAGGGCTTTTTCCTAAGGCATCTTTGGGTGAACTCGAATCACCAACCTTTCAGTTAGCAGCCGAGCACATCTGCACAACCCAGGGACTCCCAATAATAACAATAGAAATGCTCATTTCCATAATGCCTTCACTCATATATACTAAAATGAATAAAAAAATAATAAAACCCTTAAAAAAAAGATGGAATCTATGATGGAACTAAGAAAGATTCCAAACTCTTATTATAACCCCCAAATAATTTTGCTAGAATCTCAAATAATTATTTCCTAAAGGAACGTTACAGGAGCCAAAACACAGCTCTCCAATCTGTAAGCAGTATAACAGGTGAAAAGAGAAAAGAAAAGCCCCTATTACGTTCTCCCACCTTGGTTGAGACAGCCCTGAAAGCATAGTCAAGGTAAGAGAAAGTTGTTCTATCACTGAACATACCAGGAGAGATTAGTCTGGGAAAGAAAATGCTCAGTCAATTGATATTTCCCTACTACATGCCTGTCAGTTTGTCATACTGTGGTGCCCTGTGTGTTGCTGTGATATGGAAGTTTTGCCACCAGTATTTCAAATACTAGCAGGGTCATCCTTTGTGGACAGGTTTCAGCTGAGCTTTCAGACTAAGACAGGCTAGGAAGAAGGACCTGGCAGTCTATGTCTGAAAAAAATGGCCAGTTAGAACCTTATGAATAGCAGTGGAACATTGTCTGATATAGTGCCAGAAGATGAGCTCCTCAGTTAAAGCTTTCATCACCTTCATTTGCTGATGTGGCACAACTCAAAATGAGAAGAAACAGCTGCAAACATCCCTTAATAATCAGAACGTTGACTGTACGAAGTATGAATCTAGGAAAATTGGAAGTTGTCAAAAATGAAATTGAACACATAAAAATTTATATCCTAGTCATTAGTAAGCTGAAATGGACTGGTATTGGTCATTTTGAATCAGACAATCATATGGTCTACTATGCTGGGAATGACAAATTGAAGAGGAATGGTGTTGCATTCCTCATCGTTTCAAGATCTATTCAAGAACATTTCAAGATCTATCTTGAAGTACAATGCTGTCAGGGATAGGATAATATCCATATACCTACAAGGAAGCCCAGTTAATATGACTATTATTCAAATTTTATGCACCAACCACTAAGGCCAAAGATGAAGGAACTGAAGATTTTTACCAACTTCTGCAGTCTGAAATTGATCAAACATATAATTAAGATGCAGTGATAATCACTGGTGATTGAAATGGGAAAAATGGAAAAAAGAAGGGTTGGTACTTGGAAAATATGGCTTTGGTGATAGAAATGACGGTGGAGATTGCATGATAGAATTTTGCAAGACCAATGACTTCTTCATTGCAAATACCTTTTTTTTTAACAACATAAACAATGACAATACATGTGGACCTCACCAGATGGATTACACAGGAATCAAATCAACCACATCTGTGGAAAGAGTTGATGGAAAAGTTCAATATTATTAGTCAGATCAAGGCCAGCGACTGACTGTGGAAGAAACCATCAATTGTTCACATGCCAGTTGAAGTTGAAGAGAATTAGAACAAGTCCACGAGAGCCAAAGTACAACCCTGAGTATATCACACCTGAATTTAGAGACCATCTCAAGAATAGATCTGACACATTGAACACTAATGACCGAAGACCAGATGAGTTGTGGAATGATATCAAGGATATCATACATGAAGAAAGCACGAGGTCATTAAAAAGACAGGAAAAAAAGAAAAGATCAAAATGGATGTCAGAAGAGACCCTGATAGTTGCTCTTGAGCATCAAGTAGCTAAAATGAATGGAAGAAATGATGAAGTAAGAGAGCTGAACAGAAGATTTCAAAGGGCGGATCAAGAAGACAAAGTAAAGTATTATAATGAAGTGTGCAAAGAACTGGAGATAGAAAACCAAAAGGGAAGAATGTGCTTAACATTTTTCAAGCTGAAAAAATGGAAGAAAAAATTCAAGCCTCAAGTTGCAATAGTGAAGAATTCTGTGGGCAAAATACTGAACGACTGAAGAAGCTTCAAAAGAAGATGGAAGGAATACACAGAGTCACTGTACCAAAAAGAATTGTTTGATGTTCAACCACTTCAGGAGGTAGCATATGATCAAGAACTGGTGGTACTGAAGGAAGAAGTCCAAGCTGCACTGAAGGCACTGGTGAAAAACAAGGCTCCAGGAATTGATGGAATGCCCATGGAGATATTTCAACAAACAGATGCAGTGCTGCCAGCCCTCATTCATCTATGCCAAGAAATCTGGAAGTCAGCTACCTGGCCAACTGACTGGAAGAGATCCATATTTGTACCAGTTCCAAAGAAAGGTGATCCAACAGAATGCAGAAATTATCAAACATTATCATTAATATCACACGCAAGTACAATTTTGTTGAAGATCATTCACAAATGGATGCAGCAGTACATCCACAGGGAATTGCCAGAAATTCAAGCTGGATTCACAAGAGGACGTGGAACGAGGGATATCATTGCTGATGTCAGATCCTGGCTGAAAGCAGAGAATACCAGAACGATGTCACCTGTGTTTTATTGACTATGCAAAGACATTCAACTGTGTGGATCATAACATACCATGTAAAGAATGGAAATTCCAGAACACTTAATTGTGCTCATGAAGGATCTGTACTTAGATCAAGAGTCAGTTGTTTGAACAGACTAATGGAATATTGCATGGTTTAAAGTCAAGAAAGGTATGCATAAGGATTGTATACTTTCACCATACTTATTCAATCTGTATGCTGAACAAATAATATGAGAAGGTGGACTATATGAAGAAGAATACGGCAGCAGCATTGGAGGAAGACTCATTAACAACCTGCAATACGTAGATGACACAACCTTGCTTGCTGAAAGTGAAGAGGACTTGAAGCACTTACTGATGAAGATCAGAGAACAAGCCTTCAGTTTGGATTACACCTCAACATAAAGAGAGCAAAAATCCTCACAACTGGACCAGTAAGTAACATCATGATAAACAGAGAAAAGATTGAAGTTGTAAAGGATTTATTTTACTTGGATCCACAGTCAATGCCCCCGGAAGCAGCAGTCAAGAAATCAAATGATGGATTGCATTGGGCATATTTGCTGCAAAATATATCTTTAAAGCGTTAAAAAGCAAAGATGTCATTTTGAGGACTAAGGTGCGCCTGACCCAAGTCATGGTGTTTCCAATTGCCTCATATGCATGTGAAAGCTGGACAATGAACAAGGAAGACTGAAGAAGAATTGATGCCTTTGAGTTATGGTGTTGGCAAAGAATACTGAATATACCATGGACTGCCAGAAGAATGAACAAATCTGTCTTGGAAGAAGTACATCCAGAATGCTTCTTAGAAGCGAGGATGGTGAGACTTCCTCACATACTTTGGATAGTTATCAGGAGGGATCACTTTCTTAAGAAGGACATCATGCTTGGTAAAGGAGAGAGTCAATGAAAAAGAGGAAGACCCTCTATCAGATGGATTGACACAGTGGCGGCAACAGTAGGCTCAACCATAACAAAGACTGTGAGGATGGCACAGGACTGGGCAGTGTTTCGTTCTGTGGTACATAGGGTCGCTACGGGTGGGAACTGACTCGACAGCACCTAACAACAACAACAACGTAGATAAATGAAAATGACTACACTGTATTTTATTAAAATTCCAGTTAAAAAAATCATAGTTAAAAGTTTGGAAAAGGGTTACATCTTACATTTCATGCTATATTTCAAAATCCAAATTCCCTTTGGAATTGTGAAATAACTGCATGCAATCAAAAAGTATCACATCTTCATCTCTGAAGTTGATTTAGCATGGTTCCCTTTAAAGCTGAGGCAAGGTTACTGTGTTAAGTAGTGAACTTTTGACATCTTTGAAATCATGAATAACTATTTACTAGAATCTGTAAGGAGATTAAGGGACCCTGGTGGGTCAATGTTTAAGTGGTTGGCTGCTAACCAAAAGGAGCAGCTGGTGGATTCGAACTGCTCTGAATCCACCAGCTGCTCCTTGGAAACCCTATGGGGCAGTTCTACTCTGTACTACGTCACTATGGGTCGGAGTTGACTTGATGTCAACAGGTTTTTTTTTTTTTTTGGTGGGGCAATGGTTAAGCACTCAGCTGCTAACCAAAATGTTGGTGGTTCAAACCCACTCAGCGGTTCCACAGGAGACAGACCTGGTGATCTGCTCCTATAAAGATTACAGCCTTGAAAACCCTATGGGGCAGTTCTGCTCTGTCACATGAGGCCTCTCTAAGTTGAAAAGCGACTCAAAGGCACCTGACAACAACAAAACATAATGAGATTAGAATAATGTGATGTATACGTAAACACATTTTTCTGGAAAGAAAATTCTGTGAGTATAAAACAATAAAATTCTAATTAATAAAGTCATATAAAATCAGTCTCTCTTACTTTGTAATCACTGATGCTGCTCATGCCAATGTAAGGAGAAATGCAGTTTGCCACCACCAACAAAAATATCGACCTATCCAAAATGCCAATTCCCAGCTTTACGTCATCCTGAAAGTTAAAAAAAAAATCTGTAAGCTGCTGAAGTTGTTACAGGTCATACAATCAAACATAATTATACAGTATGCTTTGGGGAAATAGTGAACAACTCAGAATGGTCCCATACACCTGAAGCAAACAAAGAAACAATCATGTCTGACATCTTAGTGGCAGGCTCCATTCCCAGGAAAAACGTGATTTCAAAAGAAATTCAAACTCATAGTTTTACAAGAATATATTTAAAGGGCATGAGCAGTTTCTGTTTCACATTTGAACCTAGGAATTGCCAAAGGAAGACAAATGTTCTTTACGGCTACATTTATAATCATGGAATCACTGAACTAAGTTGTCATTTGTTCCAGTCCCCTATTTCCAAGCAGATAAATCCTAAAAAACAACAACTAAATAGAAGTTGTTCCTAGCTTCACAATTTAAACATCTCTAAATGTCTAGAAATTATTTAGCAAGGAAAGATTATTTGCTCTCCTCTAATTATATCATGGAGCCCTGGTGGCACAGTGGTTAAGTGCTACAGCAGTTAACCAAAAGGTCAGCAGTTCAAATTCACCAGCTGCTCCTTGGAAACCCTATAGGGCAGTTCTACTCTGTCCTATAGGGTCACTGTAAGTCAGAATCAGCCCGACAGCAATGGGTTCTTTTTTTTTTAATTATATCATAGAGGAACCCTAGTGGTGCAGTGTTTAAGCACTTGGATGCTAACTGAAGGCCAGTGGTTCAAACCCACCAGCTGCTCCATGGGACAAAGATGTGGCAGTCTGCCTCAGGAAAGACTACAGCCTTGGAAACCCTGTAGGGGCAGTCCTACTCTGTCCTAGAGGGTCACTATGAGTTGGGATCGACTCAACGGCAACAGGTTTGGTTTTGGTAATTATATCATAGAGACAACTTTTATGCTTATAATTAAATCACCCTATTTCGTTTTCAAGGAACTAGAGTCAGCATAATCTTAATTTGTTATTATGGAACCTTCTAGTAAAATTCCACTCACCATAATTTTTATTCATATTCTTGCAAACATTCACCCAATTTCTACCATAATCAAAAATAATTGTTGGGAACTATTTGAAGGCTAGGCAAGGTTTATTAAAAATTATTTCTGATGAAAAATTGTACCTTACTCCCCAAGATATTAAACATTAAAAGAGCCAACAGCCAAGAGGACACTGCAAACCTAAAAATGATAGAGAAAATCCATAGAACTGTTAAAGAATGATAATCTTAGGGTTGGGTCATATGTTCTCATAAATCCTACTGTGGTGCTTTATATATATATATATATATGGCACACTTGCTTTAATCAGTGTGTATGACTCATATGCAAATTCTCCCAGGAAAATCTGATACAAGATTAGGGATTTGGGGCTTGAGGCTTCTCTGGTGTTCTAAGTTTCCCTGCAAATCTATCTATTCATTGATATCAACAAACATGTACTGAGTACCTAGTGGGTGCCAAGCAGTGTTCTAGACACTGCTGCTGCCACACTGAGCCAAACAAAGCCCAAGTTATGGTTTTTTCACTCTTCTAGAGTTTTTCTCTATCATTTTAAATTCTACGGCAACTTCTCGGATCTGAGCTCTTTTAAAGTTCTATATTTTGGAAAGTGAGGTGCAATTTTTGATCAGACAAGATTTTAGACTAAAGGAGAGAGATAAGCAATGAAAAATAATGATATAGTGCATCAAGCAGTGATAAATGTAATGGGAAATAGATCAGGGTACGAGGATAGAAAGTGAGAGATACATTTAATTTACTAAAGTAAGGAAGTTTATCACGTTTTTAAGTTTTCCATTAAAAATTTTAATTTAAAAAATTAATGAAACTAAATTTAAGTTACTTTGACAAATCATGATTTTTCAGATTAAGTTATGGCAATGCTTACTCTCTTCCTTACAGCAATGTAAGGTTCATAAAGGCAAGAACTTTTATCTGCTCTGTATATGCTATATCCCCAGCACTAGAAGTACCTAGAAGGCACTCTAGAAGTATTTGTTGAATGAAATATTTTTGAAAAAAATATATATGCCAGGCTCTGAGTCGGAATCAACTCAATGGCAATGGGTTTGGTTTTTAGGTTACGGGCACTTAGGTAAACTCATTAATCCTCATAATAATCCTATAAAGTGTTGCTCTTGTTGTTGTTAGGTGTCATCCAGTCAGTTCCAACTCACAGTGATCCTATGTACAACAGAATGGAACACTGCCCAGTCCTGCGCCATCCTCACTATCTTTGCTATGCTTGAGCCCGTCGTTGCAGCCACTGTATCAATTCGTCTCATTGAAGGTCTTCCGCTCTTTTGCTGACCTTCTACTTTACAAAGCATAATGTCCTTTTCAGGGACTAGTCCCTCCTGATAACATACCCAAAGTACGTGAGACGAAGTCTCACCGTCCTTGCTTCTAAGGAGCGTTCTGGCTGTAGTTCTTTCCAAGACAGATAAAATAGGTACTATTCTTTCCTCCATTTTACAGATGAGGAAACTGAGGCAATGGTGACTACTACACTTGCTAAGAAGTAGCCATAACCATAAAATCAATAATAAATGAACCCAGGCAGTGGGCTCTAGAGACCTCACCCTTTATCCTTCTGCTACATTATGTATTATATAAGTTGGTACTATACTTACAAGAGGGAACGCACTTCTCTCCATTTGAATATGCCCTGTAGAGTTAAAAATTCCAAGAAGGGCATTGCTAACAATTCCCATAAGAACAGGAAAACAATTCATTCTCTTGGTATTACGTGCAACTGAAAATCTGTAATCCTTAAAAACAAAAAAGAAGAATATGCAAATATAAGTTCTAAATTCTTAAAAAGTAAATTATAGCTTACTTATTACCATAGTGGATTGAGGGAGAAAAGGAGACTCTTAATTTTTCTTTGACACTCTGCTTGTTTTAATTGATGCAAGAATGCATTATTCTTGTAATTCAAGTGACTGACTCATTTTGTAAATGAAATAGATTAACACTAACATAGAAGATGTCAAAGTTTTCAATTTTATGCGACAAAGTTGCAGAGCCCATTTAATATGACTCCAATTTAGAAAGTATATTTTTAAATTTTCAAATATGGGATCATTCTCTCTATAGTGAGTCTGTGATTTTATGTAAGAAAATAACATAGAGGACGGTTAACAAACTATAAACTGGTAACAGAGATTTAATATGGAAAAAGAAAGGGATGAAATTATGGAGAGAATTTCACATTCTACGTTATGCACTCTAAAAAAAAACCAAACCTGTTACCTTCGAGTCGATGCTGACTCATGGCGACCCTATTGGACAGAGTAGAACTGCCCCATAGAGTTTCCAAGGAGTGGCTGGTGGATTCGAACTGCCGACCTTTTGGTTAGCAGCCATAGCTCTTAACCACTACACCACCAGGGTTTCTATTATACACTCTAGTAAAGTTTAAATTTTTCTATTAAACATGCATTACTTATATAACAAATAAAATCACCAATAAAAATTATTCCTTTAAGAAACAACTGAATCCATGGGACTAACAGCTTACATGAATGATAGCCTCTTTTAACCTGAGACCAGAAGAACTAGATGGTGCCAGACGACCACTACTGACTGTTCCAACCAGGGACACAATAGAAGGTCCTGGGTAGAATGGAAGAAAAATGTAGAACAAAACTCAAACTCCTAAAAAAGGCCAGACCTACTAGATTGATAGAGACTAGAAGAACTCCTGAGACTACTGCCCTAAGATAGCCTTTGAACATGAAATTGAAGCTATTTCTGCAGGTCGCCTTTCAGCCAAATAACGGATTGGCTTATAAAATAAACAGTAGCACCCATGAGTAATGTGCTCCCTTAAACAACGAACTGTATGAGACCAAATGGTCAACATTTAGCCAAAAGCAAAGGTGAGAAAGCAAAGAAGGGAACGGAAGCTAGATCAACGGAAACAGAACAAACAATGGAAATAATAAGAATGCTGACAGAATGTGAAATTGTAACCAATGGCACAGAACAATTTGTATAGAAATTGTTAAAGGGGAATCTAACTTGCTGTGTAAACTTTCACCTAAAACACAATTTAAAAAAAGAAAGAAATAATTGAAGATGGAAAACATGCCCTTTAAAGGATTAAAAATTCATACCTTACTCAAAAAGGGTCTAGGTAGTGTTCTGAGTTATGCTTATATAGAACGGTTGAGTTGCCTTAATATAGTTTCAAAACATTTGAATGTGGCAAAAAGCCACTCATAATAAAACAGCACATGGGAGTAAACGTACCTTCTTATCACCAGACACTATGATGGCTCCATTGTACGAAGGATCGTCTGAGCCATTTCTATTTTCAAAGTCATCTACTTCTAAAACTATATTCTGATGCTTTAGTGAATGCACAAAGTCTTCAATATTTGATCCTAATGTAGTCAATGAAGGAAGGCAGTTAAAACCAAGAAAAGCAATCTCAAAGCTTTAAAATAACAATTTCCACTCATGTTAAAGAACACCCAGAAGAGTGTGTTGAAGACCCTCATTCTTTTTGAGTATGATGATATTTATATTAATCCTGGGATACTTAAGTCCAGCTTACCATCTGCAATGTAACAGACTCCTTTGCTCAGAAATGTGTTAGTTTATTGTGTAATTCTCAGAAGGTCAAAGAGTTTACTCTTGTTAGTCAAGATTGCAATTCTCACAGAAATAAAACTTCTTTACTAATGACTTTTATAAACTTAGCCAGAACCCTGTGATGCTTGTAATTATAAATATCAGTTGTCATCAGGTTGACCCAACTCATGGTGACCCCTGTGTGTCAGAGTAGAAGTATGCGCCATAGGATTTTCAATGACTGGTTTTTTGGAAGTAGATCACCAGGTCTTTCTTCCAGGCGCCTCTAGGTGGACTAGAACTTCTAACCTTTAAGGTAGCAAATGAGAGCAGGTGGTTTGTATCACCCAGGGACTCTGTGGTTATAAATAAGAGATACTAAAAATCCTCATGGCCTAGGCTCGTTGTAGTGATATAAGTATGCCCTTCTCATTATCTCACCTGTTTAATATCAATAACCTTACAATGATGTTTACAGTACAGTGACCTATTCAAAATATCTTTATGAAAATAAGCAAAGTTGATATTTGCCTATTTCCATTATTTTCCTTACTTTGAAAATGAACCCATCACTTCCAAAAGGACAGCAAGCTGGACAGATATCATTTCCCCCTTATTGTCCCTCAAGTTGTTTTTAATATAGGTCTTCTCTTTTTCCTCTCAAGTTTGTGCTTTCTATAGATCTTTGATGATAAAAATCAAGAATAAACAAAAGTCCTACTTCTCACCTGTGTTATTGATGATTAATATGCTGGTAAGAGGAGCCTGTGGAAGTTGTTCCAGAGAAAGGAAATACATAGTGGGTGAAAATTCCCAATGATGAGCCTGACGGTATACTTTATACACTACCTTTTCCAAAATGACAGGAATAAACACAATTGAAAATAACAGAAACCTAAGTAAAAGAAAATTAAAATATGAGTCTAAAACAATTTCCCTTTGATTATGTAAGTCACTAAAATGCTACATAAATGCCTATCTATGGAAATTATACATACGGTGTTTAGTTCAATCAAATAAAATTTAACCCTTTCAAGGTCCAATTATCTTCTGTTTTGAATTTTTTTTAATACTACGTATTTTCATTAATGGAAGCATGCTGAGTCATGGAGTGTGTTTAAACTTTTGGTTGGTAATATTGATTTTGAGAAATAGTATCTGGTACTACATGGTTACCACAGAACTTCTAAGGTTCTCGAGCCCATACTTAGCAGTTGCTCGTCTGTACCAATGGACCTTGGTTGCTGATGTTTTTTGTGGCGCACTCCATTCGGAGGCCTAGTGACATAGTGGTTAAGAGCTTGGCTGCTAACCAAAAGTCAGCACTTTGAATCCACCAGCCACTGCTTGGAAACCATATGAGGCAGTTCTATTCTGTCCTATAGGGTTGCTATGAGTCAGAATCAACTTGACAACAACAGGTTTGGTTTGTTTTTTCCCCCATTAGGTTACATGGGGGAATCTCTGGTTTTCTAAATATGACATAGACGCACACACAAAAAAAACCAAACCCACAGGGGCTCCCTACCTATCACACAGGACATCATAAATATGCTTACAAGGCTTATCTAGGGTACAAAAGCCAAAAAAGACAAAATTTTTACCCAATCATATTTCCTGGTTGCACTACCTTAATTGTAAGCCTCTTACCCCAGCTATTTTGCTTCAACTAAAGTTTCTTTTGACTTTCACCGTTATGCAAGTCCCCACTGGAGGGTAGCAAATACTTTCAGTGGTAAAAGTATACTCCCAAAGAACCTGAGAGCTGGAAAAAGTGGGTAGTATACCACATGTACCATGGGTGATGAGAGGGTAAGATTATTCTGAAAATGAGCTCAAGATTTTACATAATTTGCATAATATTGCTAAGTTCCCAAGGGTAACAGCTTCAAGAAAAAAGGTAGAATCCAGGGGCATTCCTCTGTGGGCATGCTAGTTGACCAGGACAACATGGAAAAGAAGACATCTGGTTTTCTGAGATACCAGGGGTCTCAAACTACCTGCTGGGGTGGTTTTGAAGGGAAAGGAGCCTTATTTTATAATGTGGCCTCAAGCTTGAAATGTGCACAATTTACAAGCAAAAGTTTAACTTTCATCAGCTGTTATTTTATGTGTATTTTAATTTTCATGAAACTAGATATAATATTTAATATACTCTTTTCAGATCTTAAAATTCACTCCAAAAGTCAAACTGTGAATAAAAACTTCCAGGCAATCTTTCTATTTCTCTAGCAAGCATGTGAGCCTGTTCTTTGCAATGACTATTTTATATTTAAGTCTCCTCAAACCGCAGACTCTACCTCCTTTCTCCTCCCTCTCAGCTTCATATTTCATAGGAAAAAAATAGAATCCATCAGACAGAAACTCCCTTGTATGAAAGAAAGAAGGAAGGAAAGAGGAAGGAAGGGAGGGGAGGAGGGAGGGAAGGAGGAAGGAAGGAAGAAAGGAAGAAGCATATTGACAAACACACCCATCCTCCCATTCTTTCCTTCTGTTGCAGTAGATTATATATCTTGCTCCTATTAAAGTCCAGTCCTTTTTGATATTACTCTGGTCCAGTCCCCTACTGTCCTCTCTAAGACCTTGATTAATTAGCTCCTCTTTCCTCTATCTTCAACTACTTCCATTCTATTGGCTCTTTCTCATCATCACTGAAGCATGTTCTCATATCTCTCATGCATAAAAAATAAACTTTCCTCTTGACTCCACATCTCCCTTCAGCTTCCACTGTCTACTTCCCCCCACAGTCAGGCACCTCAAGAGTTGTCTATTCTTTTCTACAAAACACTTACAGAAGAGCTTGTACCACTACTACTCAAGCTATTTCACAGCATAGAAGAGGAAGCAACACTTCCAAATTCATTCTATGAAGCTACCATAACGCTGATACCAAAACCAGGCAAAGACGTCACAAAAAAAGAAAATTACAGACCAATATCTCTCATGAATATAGATG